TTATTTATTACTGTTTGTCATGTTTTAACTGATTGTTTGATCTTACAGTTTTGAGTGAATAATAATAAACTGAAATTGGTAAGATGATTCAGTTGTGTTTTCTTGATGCATGTATTACTTGTTTTGCATGGGTTGAATTGTAAAACTAAAAATTAAATGTAAACAAAAAATTATTTGATTAAGTGAATGAATGAATGATAGCCTTACTGGATACCCTATGAGATGGTGGACGGACCGAGTACATAGAAAATCCTATCGTGAACATTGTCTCATACCGGACGGGGTATTGATGAATGATATTTTGACGCTCATACCTGACGAGGTATGAGGACGACCCATTTCACCCTCATACCGGACGTGGTGTTGAGAGATTATATTTTTTGCGCTCATACCGAACGAGGTATGTGGACGGTCCGTTTCACTCTCATACCGGACGTGATATTCAGGGATAGTATTTTTGACGCTCATACCAAACGGGGTATTGGGACGGCTGATTAGTTGATAATATTGAATAAAAATTCACGCGTAGTAGAGACATCCCTATGGACCTCCATGAATACCAGTAGGCAGATAAAAGGGAAAGTTGTTGTCCTAACTAATTGAAAATGAGATTATAATGTTGTTTGTGTTATTACCTCTATATGTCGGTTTTGAAAATCTTACTACGGTAAATATATAATAAATGATTATATTTATGATAAATGAATTTACTTAAATTAAAAGTTCAATTAATTGTTTTTATAATTTTTACCAACATTTATTTTTGTATTAGTGAGTAGTGTAACATTGTTATTGGGTCAGTGTATCTCACTCTTTTATTAACCATTTCAGATCAAGAGTACCAATATTAAGATTCCGATCCATAAGAGAATTACAAATAGGATATCCAGTTGTTTACTTTTCATTTATTTATTAAATTTTTTATTTATTCTTTTAGAATAGTCATTCCAGTAAACTTATTTGGTATTATGAATTATTATGTAAGGAATATAAACTCTAATTTTATTATTTTATTTTTGTATTTAATTTATAATTTATTTATTTTTAAATTATGAACTGTTACACATTTATCTTTAATGACAATTCGATATTTTTTTATAAAAATTTATAAATTTTGAGTATGGATTTCTATAGTTCAATTTTAGGTACTAAAAAAAAAAAAATAAATGATACATTCAAGGCATCAGAATTGATTACACTTTCCCGTATTTTGTTTTTGGCGGTATATTAATGTTCAAGGAGTGGGAAACGTTTCTTTCCGGTGGAGTAAGGCTGAGCTTTCAGTATCTGAAATGAAATACGCGCCAGCATCTTTGATTTGATTTTTCATTTCGGAATCTATTACAAAGAAATTCGCTGCCTTTTGATTATTCTCAAAATATCAATAAATTACTACCTACCATTAATAAACTTTAAAATTTACTATTCTAAAAAATATTTTCAATTTTAATTATTATAAGAAATTTTGGATTAACACGTAAATAATAATAATAATCAAAAAAAAAAAACGGAAAACCAAACAATTTATTTTTAGCTGCAAGACACGTTTGCTGTGACTTGTGAATTTCGAGTTTGACCCACATCGAAAACAACGGGCGGTGGCAAATTTGTAATTACGTGGACAAATCAGGATCTTTCGAGTAATTTTAAAGAAGACCGTTTCCTCATACTTCTATACGTGGCTGCCTTTCCAGCTGTCCAGTAAAGCGGTTTCGTCGTTACACAGCAGTTCCCATCACATCAGCCGTTGGATTGGAATCACACTCTCCAAAAACGGCAAACAGCTAACTGACCACGAGTTCAACCAAATCTCCGAAATTAACTATGGTTAAGTTCATCTCAAAAATTGTGTAACCAGAAATACCCCAATGTATTTCCCTTATTTACCGTTATACCCTCGTCCCTCAAATCTATAAATCTAGCGTTTGAGACTCGCTAGGTTTGCCGAACTCACCAGGCAAAGTACCCTTTAGCAGAACCCTAGAAGGGGGAAAAAAAAAAAAAAAAAAAAGAAAGAATTTCTTTCGAGTTCTCTCTCTCAACCATGGCGGCGTCTTCAAAGTCCAGATCAAGTGGTCCTGTACTGCGCTCGCTTTCTCCATCAGGTAGATTCTATACCTGCACTTCTCAATCGTCTTCTTCCTCAGCCTTTGCTTCTTCGACAAGCTCCAGCTTCCACACTCATTCATCGACGTTCTTTAATCACCACGAGCATCCCCGATCAGCTTCGCCTACCCGTGTCAATCTCTATGCATCAAGTCCTCTCGCTCAGTCCTTCCGTTTCTCTATCGATAGTAGATCTATCTCTCCTAGCCGATCCATCACCGTCTCCAAACAGAAAAATCACCCTATCTCTGCCCCTAGGAAGACCTGTATGTGCTCCCCGACTACACATCCCGGATCGTTCCGATGCAGTCTCCATAAGAATACGGCGAACAGTCACGGACACAGCTCAGCATCTTATCCGTCCACAAGGTTGAATATGCGGAGATCGGCGATGACGAATTCGTTGGTACGGATAGGCGGTGTTGAAGGAGAGTGGGTCAAGAGGGCATTGTCCGCTCTTATTCGTCCATCTTCGCATCAGCAGAGGAGAAGAGCCGCTTTTCAGCCGAGGCCTAGCCGGCTTTCCGTCATGTTGAAAGCCAACGGCCAGTAATTTATTGTGAACTGTTGACAGGTCTGTTCTTGTTTCTTTATCGGTCATCTATTACAAATTTTCTCGCTTAGCTTTGGTCTGAGGCGGGAGAATCCAGCGAAGATGTCATGTTCAGCAGCGTAGGGCCGGGTCGGCTCGGCCGAGTCGGCTCGGCCGAGTCGACTCATGAAGTCCACTCGGTGTAACTTGCAGCGGCATCCGGTGCAAAATTGGCGACATTCGTTATCGTCCGGGAGACAAGGAGTCGCGGTGGTACCGAGTCAAACCGGACGAGTTTTGTATTCGGAGACGTTCGAGATCTTTAGAATTTTTTGGAGGTGGAGAATTGCTTTTGTACAAATCATTTGCAATGGAAGGAGAATTTCGGACATAAAACTTTTCCAGAAATTAATGAAAAATTAAAATTCAAAACTATCAGACCTAAATGAGCATTTGCTTGGGGCTTAAAAGAATAATTAATTCAAACTCTCAAAAACACTGGCATTGCTTGTTTGAGTTGTAGGCGTTTGTTGCGTTCACTGCAACGTTTGCCTGCCATTCCCGTTCTACGTCCCGTGAACTTTCCCGATTTCCGGTGACCGTCCCCTTCCCCTTCCCGTCCCGTCCCGTCCCGTCTCGTTCCGTTCGTTCGTAGTCCATTTTTCCGTTAATTTTGTCCGTTTAATTCGCCGTTATCGTGGACCAGGTACGTTTCGTTGTTTATGTTGTAAGGTATACATTCTTTCCCTCCTTTATTTTCATTTATTTATTTATTATATAATTTTGTTTTTCCTTTTGGTTGCAGGTGTGACGTGAAGTATTGGAATTGGGGTTTTAGACAGGAAATGAGTCCCTTTACCTTTGCGAAATTGTTAATGTGAAAACTGGACTTCAAAATTGAATTCCCGAGGATCCTAATTTTAACTCCGAAACATAATCAAAGTTCAAATTACCAAAAATAAATAGTGATAATTAAAATAAATGATAATAATAAATGCAGTTAAGATATGCAAAGCTGGAATTGAATAAGGTGGACCCTTTTGAAAGTTTGAATTCCCAGTTTGGAAGACAAGATGCAGTTTAAATTGCCAAAACAGCTGTGCTTGGAGAAAAAAGAAAAGTTGCATACAAGCTTAATGATTCTTGTTGGAATTAAACAAAAAAAGTCATCAACTGCGAAATCGTAAATGTCAAAGACCCAACGGCAACGTAGCCATAATTGACGGGGGGGAAACCAGGAGACCTCGAGAAAAAAGGGTCAAATCTACGCTCACTCAAGAGTCTCGACTTGAAGAATAATTTGGACAAAAGAACTGCCTTTTGGGTTACTTTTTTTTTTTTTTTTTTTTTTTTTTTTCACTCAATTGAAATTAAAATTTTTAAAATTAATCTCGTTCGCTAGGAAATTTAAAAACTTGAAAGAAAAGATTTTTGGGTGGTACCTAAGATAGGCTTTGTGAATCTTAATGATAAAGCAGTTGGCATGTCCATGTCGTATTATACGTGTCAAAGCGGCATCCCGCATTTTTTGAAGATGTGATCTGAAAAAGATATTTCGTGCAAACCAAGTGTGTCTGTATTTGTCCAAGGAAACCCAATTCCAGGAAAAGAAAATTAAAAACAAAAAAAAAAAAGCTAAAGATTTTGGTATCTAAGCCGACCAAAACTATGGTCCAACTTTTATCTCCACGGCACCGCATTTTTTCTCATACAAATATAAAAAAACATTTAGAATTTCAGACCTACCACATAAACGTAAAAAAAAAGAAACACATTGATATGCTGCTATGACATGCTATACGATCCTCCTGCAAAATATAAGCTCATGAAAGACACACGTAGATATTTAAATGTGATATTATTATTATTATTCTCTTAGTGATTTGATTTGAATTTGAACAGTTATTATTTACAAAAACAGAGATTAGATTAAATATTCATAAAAAATTATTGATTTATTTTAAATTTACAAACAAAATTTGAAGTTTGGTGATCGCATATACTTGGGTATTGCACGAAATGACAGAAATAAGTAATGGTCTAAAGTTCAGGGAAGGATGGTGAACGAATTTGTTTGGTGTGAAAATGAATGGTTGGTGTATTTTTATTTATTGTACATCATTAGATGCGTTAAGCATAATGTCGGCAGCATAACACGCCAAGCGAAAGCCCACCTCGGCTGAGAGAAGAAGATTGTAGATTGTCCGTAGCATGTGTAATTTGGGCATTACTCTTCCATGTCTTCATCCACATGGGAATACATCCTACAATAATAAATATTTTCATTTAATATACCTTAAAAAAGCCAAGAATCATCAGGACCACACACACACAAACCACACGTACATAAAAAAAAAACCCATAATTATATATAAATTATTATTAGTTTAAATCATCTGTAATTTACTCTAGAGAACAATAAGTTTAGGGATAGGAGATTATATTTGTGGGTCTGTCTTTGATGTACATTAAAATTTCAGATGGTTGGAAAGAGTCAGTTATCCGATGGATTCTCCCCCCTGTGTGGGAAGCATGTGATGAGTTATGAGTTTCCTTATGGGCGCCACCCACCTCTAGTTTGATGCTTGCGCGCAATTGCTCGTGACAGATCATTCTCCATCATGTGTCATCAGTGCCACGTGAATGGACAAGAGCCGTCTTCAAATCCACTATTCATAACATAAACAAACCACATATTTAGTGGGTTTCTCTGGAAGAGTACTAGCCCAAATGGGTTGTCCTCTTCTGTTCAAATTCATAAGAAGACGTGTTAAAGAAAAAGTCCTAGCCCATCTCCGAGTCGGATGAAAAGTGGACTCTGCAGACGACAACGTTTGATGAGATCGGTTGGATCCAGAGGTTGCGGCCCAACCTCTACCCCATTTAAGAAGTTCAACTTCAAATACGACGCCGTTGATTATAATCCAAATTCCAAGTTCAAAGGGCACTCTAAAAAAGGGAACCAATACGGTTTCGTTTTACCGTTTGGCTTTAAATACCACCCGCCTCGTGAGCTGCGTCATCCCTGCAGTTGGATCCAAGTTCGTCGCTTGTCACGCGCAAACTCGAAACATGCCTCCCGTAACGCACCTGAAAAGATCTCAACCGTCGATCAACTACTTATTCACAATCCAACGGCTTCAAACCCGCCAGTTCTCTTCTCCTGCACGACCTTCCTCTTCATCGCCGTTGATTCAAGCCCCGTGTTTCACCGCAGACAAGCAAAACGAATCTCGTTTGACGAAGTGGATCTCAGGGATCCTACTTGGCTCGAGCTTAGGGTTGTTGTTTTGGTCTTCTTCGTCGGATTCCAAGTCTCCTTTCTTGATCAGTCGGTCGGTTTTGTCTTTTTCTGATTCTTCGTCGCATGCTGAAGAATCGATCGTGGATGATCCACCTTGGTCGAATTCGTTGTTAAGGAAGTTTTCGCTGCCTGATTACAGCTCTAAGTTCATCTTCGGAGGTGCTTATTTGAGTTACTGTCTTAATTCTGTTGTCAACACTTTGTTTCGTATATTTGTTTGTTTATTTTTTAATCTTGCGTCTAGCTAATTGCAGATGCATATAGGAGAAAGGTTTTCTTTAACTACGAGAAGCGCTTACGGTTGCGGAGCCCGCCGGAAAAAGTGAGTTGAAGATTGTCCTGCTCTAATATAGCTTTTGTTTTGTGCTTAGTAAACGATAATTCTCCAATCTCCTAATAATTCCGTGTTTTTTTATAGTAAAAAAGTTTTCCGGGTTTTTCTTTAGGTTGATTGAGATTGCACTTTTTTTTTGCCTTTATGAATTTTCAGGTCTTTGAATACTTCGCATCCGTTAAAACACCAGAAGGAGAAATACTTATGAGACCTTCGGATTTGATGCGAGCAGTTGTTCCTGTTTTCCCTCCATCTGAATCCAACCTCGTGAGAGATGGTTATTTGAGCGGGGAAAGGAACCCTGGCGATTTACGATGCGACCCTTCACAATTTTTCATGCTCTTTGACGTGAACAATGATGGACTTATATCTTTCAAAGAGTGAGATGCTTTTACTGCGTAGTTCTGTATATGGTATTGGTATCTCCTCATATATCTCTCATATATGGTATTGCTATTACTACTATATATGGTATTGGTGTCTCCTCAGAATTGAAGTCACCCTTTTGTCAGAAGTCTTTGTTTCAGAATTTTCTCTTCTTTGGAGAATGAAGATTTTGATTTCCTCTGGACCAGGTATATATTTTTCGTAACATTACTCAGCATCCCAGAATCGAGCTTTTTGATGGCTTTCAAAATGTTTGACATGGACAACAGTGGGTGAGTACTCATGCAAAGTTTACACAAGAGATGAGATTCATTTTTGGTACAATATGTCCGTTTAGGGTATTATTAAGGTGATATCTTTCCATATACAATTCTGAAAAATGCTGAATTTTAAAGTAACGCTTTGTACCTGATATGTTAGTGCAACTTATTGAGGTCGCCTGTCTTTTTTCTGTTATCTTTCTTTTGTGTTATGCTATCCGCATCAGGGAGATTGATAAGGAGGAATTTAAGAAAGTGATGGCTTTGATGAGAACTCGTAATAGACAAGGAGCTGTCCACAGGGATGGACTTCGCACTGGGTTAAAGGTCAATGGTTCTGTGGATAATGGAGGTTTAGTGGAATACTTCTTTGGCAAAGATGGAAATGAACGCCTCCAGCATGATAAATTTGTACAGTTTTTGAGAGAGTTGCGTGATGAAGTAAGTCCGAGTATCCCCTTTTCACATATATTTGGAGAATTCGTCTGCTAGAATTTTGTCATTGCTAATAGTCCTTAATTACAATAGTTTATGCTTCTGATTTTAATATAATTATCATTATTGTGTCTAATTATAAACCATAGATGCTAAGGTTGGAGTTTGACCACTATGACTACAAACGACAAAAATCCATCTCAGTTAAGGATTTTGCTCTCTCAATGGTTGCTTCTGCCGATATGAGCCATTTAGACAGGTTGCTTGATCGAGCTGATGAACTAAATGACAGACCACTACTTCGGGGCACTCGCATCACATTTGAGGAATTTAAAAACTTTGCAGAGCTACGAAGAAAATTGCACCCATTTTCTATAGCCCTTTTCAGTTATGGGAAAGTAAATGGCCTTTTGACAAGGAAGGACTTTAAACGAGCTGCATTCCATGTAAGATTTTAGTTCACTGCGTACAGTTAATTTCTTTTATTTCTCTTGCAACAGACAATCTTACCATTAAAAATATTATTGTTATGAAGTCCTTTTTGGATAGCCAAGCAAAGGCTATTTGAAATTTATTTGTAAAAGAAGCATAGGCCATTTGAAATGAAGCACAGTCATGCCATCAGTATGACCTCCGTTCAGGGCTTACCTAGTCGGGAAAATTCAGAAGTTAACTAGGAATATGATTGGGCAGGATATGGAATTATTCTTCTGCCATTTTGGCAGTACTCATGATGCTTTGAGTTTCAAGCTTATCAGTTTTTGAAAGAGACAAAATTGGTGATTTTATAAAGCTAACATGTGAATTTTTTTTTTTAATTTATAAAAAAAAACTTGTGAACTTTTTTTTAGGATTGCAATGAATTATATAAAAAATCATTTCCTTGTTCATGTCAATCTGGTGGTCTTATATCACTAAGACTTTTTTGCTTTTGGCTTTTGAAGCTTTTGATATAGCTTTGATTCTCTACCTATCAAATAATTTCGATTGCAGTTCTTTTAAATTGAAATTTATTGATGAAGTGATTTCTTAACATGTTAGGTGTGTGGTTTATCACTTTCCGACACTGTCATTGATATCATTTTCCATCTGTTTGATGCAAACCGGGATGGAAATTTGAGTGCGGATGAGTTTGTTAGTGTTCTATGCAGAAGGGAAAAGGATATTGCACAACCTGTGGGGAAAGGACTCTTTGGTTTCTTACGGAACCGTGGAAATAATTTCTCTATCAGCCAGTTTCTTCCTTAATACATATCACTGTACAAATGGCCCCTGAAGTTATGCAAAGGGTGCTTCTAGATTCCTGAGTATTCAAACTTGCTGTCAGCCAAGAAGTTCCCGTATGACTTGAGTTGCTGTTAAAGAAGGCGTTCAGGAATTCTGATGAGTTGATACAGAGCTGTTGACAAGTGGGCAATGTTCAGAAACAGGAAAAGTGATTATTTCCCAACCTATTGTGCCAGGAATATTTAGATTTCAAACTTGCAGCTGGAATTGGAGATCTAGCAACATCATTTTATTTCCTACATCAATCAAGGATTCGAGGTGCATTTTCTTACCCTTGATGTGAAGATGTTATCAATAGTTGATGTCCATGCAATTTATAACGTAATGGCAGTTAAATTGCTAGCTTAAGTTTTGGATTCAAGTTTGACTGATCTGCTTGGGATTCTGTGGCACATGAGGTATAGAAGATTGAAATATGAAACTATTTCTTAAAAATCCCAGCACGAGACAGTTAATCCTTGCACCTGTACATATACTTCCAGTGGGTTATCGATCCTTACACTTGTTCTCCTATCGGTTTGTCTTTGTCAATATCTTGAGAGAACTGAGAAAGTTAATGTACATAATGAGTTCAATAAGTATTTCTATTGGTTTATTACTTCTGGTATCGGAGCATCATAGTATTGATTGCTGGATCTGCTATTTGCATTCCGAAGATCTATATTACCCACTCACTAATTTTTATTACATGAGTTGGGAAAGAGATCTGGGAAGTGCTAATATAAATATTTGAAGTACAAATAGCACAACATCATCGTTGAAGATAAAATATTATTTGGGTTTTGAATAACCATTTGAGGTTCACTAACTTGCTGATATTTCTTAAAAGAGAAGAAATGGGAAACCTAGTTGCATCTGTTGAATGTGAAGTAAAAGGCTTAAAGCAAGGAATAGATGACCTGCGAAGATTATTTGCGAGTAATTCAACATTTAGGTTATATTTTGAATAAATAAAGTGATTTATTTTTTCTGTACAATTTGATGAAAATTTTTTACTTGGTTAAATTGGAAGAAAAGATAAATGTGTTTAAACATGCTCCATTTATTCTATCACGCTTTTCAAAACATAGCTTCGTTTTTATCTATTTTAAACTCAAACATCAAAGAAATTCAAGTTAAAGTCAATATATTTTTTTTGGGTGCAAAGTAATGCAGTCTAATCCTCCTCTCTTTCTCCCTCATCTTTCCTGTTTTATCTCTCCTCTCCCATCTCTCATTCCCTTCGATCTCGTGTGAGTAGTAGATAGGAAGCTGCAATCTAACTCTAACCTGATCCAAATTGACAACATGAGATTTGAAAGCTACATGTCTAGTTCCCTCTTCCATTTCCTCAAGGTCAACCCAAGTCGAAGCCTCCAAAGCTTTGAGTTCTTTCTAGGCTCCAACATTGTTTTCTGGTCTTCTGCGTTTTGTTTTCATGTAGGACTATGCATTTTCCGCTCGGGGTCTCCAACATCGTTCTATTGTCTCCCGCCTTTTGTTTTTATGTAGGGGAGTACGTTTTCCAATACTGCATCGGGCTGTGGGTTTGCAGTAGAATTTACAAAACATTGTTTTGGTCCAGTTATTAGTCCAGACGCCACGGGATCAAGAGGATAAAAAACAATCGAGTCCCTACTCAAACTGAAATGAATCTGTTTGGACTTAAAACCGTAGGAAAATAAAAATGTAAAATATATTTTTTAAATTTAGTTTTATTTCTTAATTAATAAACTAGAAGTAATCTATTTCAGATTAAACCAAGTCATTCTCTACTCTGAACCTCTGTTCTTGATTAGTTTTAGGTTCGATCTACTTCTAGACAGGTTGACGCTTCTATTTTTATGTGGGCAAGCTTGATCTAACAAATTTTGTTTTGCAGATCTGTCAATATCATATTGTTCGTGGGCCAGTTTTCCTTGTGTGTTTTTCAACTTCTGAATTGAAAATCATTGAAGTTCTCTTGGTGATATTTGATTTTTTATGGGTGATGGAATTTTTTGAACAAGTAGGAAAACAGAAGGGTAGATTGGGTAGTCTACATAAAATTTTAGTTATAAAAATATAAAGCTGTGGGCTTAGGCTTGCCGAACTTGATTAAATTCTCAATTTTATGATGGCCTATGAATATAAACATGGAGCCCCGGAGCAATCCATCCTTTCCAATTTAACTTTACATATTACATCCATCCCAAAACAAATTTTAAATTAATGACAATTCTGACATTGACTGTTTTTGGAATGTTAATTCTTTGAGCTTCAAGCATCATCAACCTTTGCTGCCGCAGATGCATAACTCACACTGCTGTCTCTCATAGTTTTGCAGTGGCTTGACTGCTCATACCAGAGGAATTTGATCTTTATCTTCGTTGAGCAATACCTTACAATCTGAAACAATTATAGAATTAGAAAAGTCCATATAAAATTAGTTCAATCAAATTTATTTGATGGGCACTACTGAAATTGGTGCCAACTAATGAGTGCTCGCTCAATATATTACGGAGGAGAAATATCTGGCATGTTGCTCAAATTAGCATTACTAATCAAATTGATACCAGATCTTCTAGAATTTAAATAATCATCATTACCATTGTTATCACCACTGTAATGATCTTACAACTAGGAGAAGGGCAGTATCTGGGATGCCTATTCAATAGAAAAACAAACCACTATTTGATTAAAGTTTAAGCCAATTATCCTGCTAATGCCTCACAAAACTATGGATAGGCGCAAAACATGGTGCCCATCAATTAGGTACAACACTTTTGATGCATATTTAAATATGATGACTGATTTAAAGGCCTCCTGTTTCTATGGTTTCGAATCCAGTTGATCATTATAACTAAAGTGAAGCAGAAGATAAATTAAACTAGATGGGAAAAATTCATCAACAGTTTCCGACCAAAAAAGAAACATCTACCATATACATCTCATTGTTTGTGTATATATAGGTTTTAGCACTTTATATTTTTTAAAAAATGTATATAGGTTTTAGTACACTAGCTTACACAATATGGAGTAGTAATACACAGTTGACTTTCTTTAGAATAACTGACAATCAGATTTTATGTGTATTTCAATTTTGACATTTACTCAACTATTTCATTTGAGGAGAAGCAATTATTTATGGACTTACAAAACTTTCTTTTATCATGAGAAAAAAATAAGGTACTTACATGGAGGAAAACACTAATTGGATGGCGTCCGCAAATTGTGTTTTCATACTTCGACAAATATGTCTTGAAAGCATCTGCATCTCCTGTTTCTATTATATCCATTCCCATCTTATCCAAGGCCTCGATAGATTTGTGTATGGGACCATGTTTCTTGTCATAAAACAGGTAATTGAACCTAACAAAGCCACATAACACTAGTTATGTCATAGTTGAAATGATATTGTTCAATCCTGATAACAAAATCAATGCCATCCTATCCAAGGACCTAGAATGTGTGTATGACACCATGTTTCTTTTCATAATGAATGTTAGTGAATCTGACAAAAGAACCATATCACCAGATGAAATAAATCATGAAACTTATCACGTAGGCTAAGCGTACATAGACCAGCTTCATAATGGTATTAAGCAAGCACGACCATGTGGGTTACAATAAGAACAAGATGAAACAATTAGGTTCAGGAAAATTTTGATAAGATATGTACAAATCTGAGAGGTAAAAATATTCGACATTGACTGCAAGATAATGTATTGGCAATCATATTAATGCAACCATGTGAACATAACATAACTCTTTTATAACAAACATAAAATCTCAAATTGACCAAGTCAAGAGCTAAAGTATAATACTTTGTCAGAAGTGGATTTCGTGAAGCATACCGAGAACCCCAATGGCAGAAATCTGATGACACAGAGAAGAAATTTTTTGGATCATCCATGTATTTGGCTAACAATTGACCATACATGGCTTCATTTTCAGCATTAAGAGCACCAACTAAAATGGGTACAACTTTCACTGGTGCCTAAATCAGTACAAGTAGGAGTTAGCGCAGAGAAACAAAGAAAAAAAACAATAGTAACGGTATAGATGACAACATTATTTAACTGTAAAATAAAAAAATTTACCCTTTCAAATACTTTAGCAAGATATGGCAAGTGCATTTCCATGCTATGCTCAGCCTCATCAACACGAAGATCCATTGATTCAAATTTTCCTGTAGCTTTGAGCTCCAGAATGACTGATAGACAGGACAAATTAGTTCAACAGGCCAAGCAAATAACAGAAGAAAAAAAAATACATAAAACAAAACACAGCTCTGTACAGTCTCTCTATCTTAGACATATCTCTACGTGTCTCTTCATATGTGCAATACTGCAGAATTTTGAGTATGTAAGGAAAATATTTATGTATCATATATCCATGCAAGTTTCAAAAGCAAACTTCACTAGGCAATTACACCTACACTCTCTTTACAATTTTTTTTTTTGGTTAGATTAATGTTTTACAATGTTTGAAATGAATGAATTCCAGAAAAAAATGTGGAAGTCATTTGCAAATTTAAATTTTTATCTTTGGAATTATTCCAAATAACTTATTTCTAATAAATTCCACTAGAACTAAGAAGATACATTTGAACTGTTAGATTTGATGAAATTCAGAAATGAAATAGAGGATTTAGAGAAAAGAAGCTTGAGCTCCGTTATTTAAGTTCGCCAAATATACTAATTGAATAGAACTGTATACAACAATTTAACCACTCATAGTTTATTTCAAACATAGTAATTCATGTATCATTTGTTCCAAACAAACCCTTAATTAGTTACCTTTCAGGAAGAAAAAAAATCCACAAATCACCAAGCCTTAACCTTTCACATGGAAGAAGAAAATCACTATACCTTCCAAATCAATAGGCAAGTCACCTATAGGGGTCCTGTAAACTGTAGCTGTTGAAAGGGCACATTTTGGAGTGTAATAGTGGTGAGATGGACCAAGAAGGAACACCCGAGAACTGAAATCATACATGTACCGATGTAAAGAGAAAAAAATAAATGGCTAACTCATAAAAGCTATTAAAATAAAATTATGGGCAACAAATAATTAATAACAATCACTTTATGTCAAATATAAATTTTCAAACCAGTGAAGCATGGAAAACTAATTAAAAATATACTTCAAACCAAAGGGATTGGCGATAAACACCTACATGTTTGTTGGGTCTATGTTTCCAAATGCATAAGCTGCAGCTCGACCTGAATATGAATAACCGGCATGCCTAGAGTTCCAATGCCAAAAGATGATAAGATATATTAGAACTTGTTACAATTATGAAGAAATTGAATAGACTTACGACAACTTACGGAGCAATCACGCCTCGTACATCAGGAGATTTAGCCAAACCAGATGATCTTAGCCATCCATCAAGCTCTTCAGCCAATTTTTTGGCTGAACAGGGAATTGAAAATAGTTTAGAACCACTTTTCGGCAACAATAACTGATTTCACAAGCTATGAGAGTTTTGATATAATAATGTGAGGATAATACATAAAAAAAAAAACTTAATGTACTCTTTTAAAAAGTTTAAATCAGCCCATGCACCATTTTTCAGTTCAAATAAAATTTAAACTTCCAAACTTTATGGACTAGGCTCTTCTTACTAACAGTGTGTCTAATACTCTTAGGCATCTAAGATGAAAGACAACATATCAACCTCGGCATCAGGTTTTAAAAGCATTGCTAGTATGGCAGCCATGTAGCTGCAATACTGACAACCACTTCACCTCTTTCTCTCTTTTTCTCTATCTCCAAATAGTTATAAATTAAACACTAATTCACGCAAAGCTACCAATAAGACATAAAACCATAAAGAAATCCTCAACACCAAAACTACTCATATGTTTTTCTACCCTCATTTGAGCACCATCACTTAACTCAACAGCACCTGAAAACACAATGCTACCGAAAGCAGATTACTAGTGGCAGAACTAGTCACATAGTTGCTATGCTGACAATATTTTTAGATCTTGATGCCTACGTGGACACGTCTTCTACCATGTGAGCAACGGTCTAACGGTGTTAGACATACTGTTAGTGATAAGTACTTATTCAGACAACATTTTAAAAGTAAATGTTGTATTTGAAACCAAAAAAAAGTATAGAGGTTGATTTGAACTTCTTTAAATAGTCCAAGGCTTTTCCAAATTATATAGGATCATGTATCATTATACTTCTCGTTTTGAAAA